GCAGTTTACAAGTCAGCAAAGTTATGGTCCGTGTTGACAGACTTGTTTTGCATGTTGACACAATTGTACATGTATGTCGACACAATCTACAGAAAAATAACTTGAATATGGGGGGGGGGGGGGGAGGAAAAAGTTGTCTGTGGAATTTCCTATTTTCACTTAATATTCGACACTACAAGCAAAAGCTGAAAATTACAGAAAATATGCATGTAATATATGTTTTATTAAATCAATTCAGTTTTCAATCCGATTTAAATTTAATAATGTCTAAAAATCCACAAAATGTCTAGTTTTTATGAGGATTTTAGCATGTATGTTATACTTCTTAACATTACAATGATAACCCAATGTTCAATTACAAAAATGTAAATCTTTAACTTCAAAAATAGGTCCATTACCCCTTTGAAAATGTTCTTGGTATCAATTTCGATCATCTTAAGATAAAGGATAAAGGTATTTTCAAAACATTAAGTATTTTGAATAGTGGTTACTGTCATATATATAAATTGTACATTATTCTTTAGATGCTAGTGGCGGATCGAGGATTTCTTAAGGGGAGAGTTACAGACAGGGGGTCTGGGTCCAGGGCATAGGCCTGGTTGGGGCTCAGGGGGCGAACGGAAGCCCCCAAAAGCTGCAAGGTTTAGGGTTTTTTTTATGCCCCTGTATCGAAGATTCGGGGGTATATAGTTTTTGCCTCCGTCCGTATGTCTGTCTGTCTGTCTATCTGTTTGTTTGTCCGCAAAAACTTTAACCTTGCCCATAACTTTTGATTGGTTGGAGCTATGGCTTTCATATTTCACATGTGTATTCCGTGTGACAAGCTTTCTTTGGGTGCCACCTTATTTGACCTTTTGACCTTGGCCTTGGAGTTTGACCCAGTTTTGCAAAATTTTACCAAACTTTAACCTTGGCCATAATTTTTGAACAATTGGTGCTAGTGCTTTCATATTTCACATGTGTAATCCTTGTGACAAGACCTTCCTTTGGATACAAACAGCTTTGACCCTTTGACCTTGGAGTTTGACTTACTTTTGGAAAACTTTAGCCTTGGTTATAACTTCTGAATGATTGGTGCTCCGGCTTTCATATTTCAGATATGTAATCCTTGTGACAAGACCAGCAACTTTGACCCTTTGACCTTGGAGTTTGACTTACTTTTGGAAAACTTTAACCTTGGTCATAACTTTTGAATGATTGGTGCTTCCGCTTTCATATTTCAGATATGTAATCCTTGTGACAAGACCTTCCTTTGGATACCAGCAACTTTGACCCTTTGACCTTGGAGTTTGACTTACTTTTGGAAAACTTTAACCTTGGTCATAACTTTTGAATGATTGGTGCTTCGGCTTTCATATTTCACCTGTGTAAAGGGAGAAGGCCTTTCCTTGGGCACCATCAATTTTTACCATTTGACCTTGACCTTGATGTTTGACATACTTTTGAAAAAACATTAACCTTTTCCATATCTATTCAATGGTTGCTGTTGGGGCTTTCATATTTCACAGGTATATTCATGGAGACAAGACCTTACTTTGGGTACCAACATATTTGATTTGCATTTGAGAAAGTTTAACCTTTGCTATAAGTTGCCATAGGGGGGCATCAGTGTTTCACAAACACATCTTGTTAGATTTAATTATAATATTAATCATTCAAGAATGACTGGTTTTATCTTGACATACTGAAAGGAGACATCCTTGTAGATTTTACCAGAACTTTGAACTTTCCAAGCCTTTTCTTTCTGTAATATTTAATAACAAATAATTCAGTAATAGGTATAGTTCTCTGTGAAGTGAATTAAAGCGGAGACAACACTTTCCTACGTTCTCCAAATACTGCAAAGTTCTGAGCAGGATTCGAATTTTAGCAAGTGTTTTCTTCATAGTAGATTCTTCAGACAAAATATAGAGAGTAATAAAATTTTGTAATAATTTCAGTGGGTTTCTTCTTTTTTCGGATGGTAAAATTTTAGATGTACAAAGAGACGCATGCGCAATGGACAGCCAATCCGTATCAGAATACGTACAGTGTAGATATAAACTCATTACAAGCTTATCTTTTAAAAAGATTGGTGAGCTAGCGCTGTAGCATAATAAAATACAGAAGAAGATATCTGAACCATTTGTTAAATTTGCTGAATCGATTAATTATTTATAGGAAGGCAGATTGGTGCACTGGGAGTTGAGTTTGGGGGGAGGGGGGTGTCACAATTCAGAATGGTGAATCTAAGAGTGTGCTTCACGTCGGCAATGGCATAACTCCTAACTGTGCTTTAAGCATTCTGTATTTTACTGTAATTTCAATTTCGAGGTGAAAAATAAAAGGTCAGTAGAACCAATGAGCACCTTCGGGCCTTTCCGGCAAGCTCGGAAAACATATCCGAGGTTGCCGCGGTTTTCCGAGCTTGCCGGAAAGATCCATGAAGGTAGATTAGCAAAGCTATGTATTCATTACAACTTTAGAAATAACAGCCTTGGTTTTATAAGACCCGAGTTACTGTTACTTTTTGTTCATTTACGTGCAGGTCAGACAACAAAACACGAAACACTAAATTGACATGTCTTTCCGACATACTCTGAAAAAGATTTTTGTTGTTGTTGTTGTTGTTGTTTTCCGAGCTTGCCGGAATTATCCACTAAGCTGGTAAAACTGTAAGGAAAGCTAGATGTCTAGAATCTTGGCATTATATGGCCAAATTTTTTCTTGTACTTTTATGTGTAGGTTAGACAATAAATTAAAAAAAAATTCAGAGTCCGGATCTGGACTGGTATTGACTGTCTCTAACCCACGAAATGTATATCGCGCATATCAGACAGGAAAGGCCTGAAATTCGGATCATTTCTATTTTTGTATGACAAAACGAAATTGTTATCGTACAGTCTATCTACAGTAGTTTTCCCAGAATCCCCGACCGTGAAGTCGAGCATGCGTATTTCAGAAATATAGACTAACGTAGTTGCTAGCGCTCGAGAGCGCTAGCAATAACTTGTAAAAATTTTAATCATGCTATAATATAGTGAAACCATGTATCTTCAATGCATGTTCATGTGTACATATTTTGATTATCAACAATGTAAATTTAAATTCAAATTCTATCAGCTGAACTTTATATGAATTAACGCAACATATTTTTCTTCATTTTCTCGATGTATGTCTGTTCTCGACATTTCCAAAAAAATTTTCATAGAATTGGCGATACGTATATGTAGCTGATTTTAGTTGATCAAAGTTTTAAAGCTTTCTTACTAACAAATATTCACACATTTAATACAAGGAGGAACATCTGCCTTTAACTTCCCTGTCTTGATGACAGATGCGATATAGTTTATAGTGAATCTTACCGTACAGAAAGCATTCCTCCGGAAGTATTCTTAATAAATAAAAACCCTCCTACCCGTGCCATAACGGGTGTTTTTATTAAAAATAGGGCTGCGTTTAGTTAAACTAATGCAAACCGCCCACATGTTTATGCAGGATTAAGCAGTTTGGTCCTAATAATAATAGAGTGGATTTGGGTTTTCTTATAGAACGGATCCAGTACCACCTCAATGATTCTCCCTCTCTTAATATTTTGAATTGTAAGAAGATGGGCGAAGAAGGCGTGCAAAATGCCTGTATAGCTTCAAATGTGTAAAAATAGAATCTAATTCAATTTGTGAACTAAGCATTTAGAGCAGAGTTCTAATTATTGAAGGTATGAAGTTATGATAAACAAAACTTTTATGGGGAAAAATTGTCTAAACAAAAATTATTCTATAGTAAAATATAGATGTCTTGGGAATTGAACCCAAGCCGCCCCCCCACCCCCCCCCCTCCAAAAAAAAAATCCTTGCAATCGGTTCTTATCTAGAGACTAGCACACTAACCACTACAACACACAGCCCACATTTAAAATCTTGTTTGTGATATGACCCTTGGATATAACGAGATTTCAAATATTTCTCGGAAAGAATACGAATTTTGTTTTGTAAAAGTGTATTTTAAGGTAGAGTGAGTCCTTGCTCCATGTTTTTTATATTTTTATACATATTTTGAAAACTTTCAAACAAAATTTAAAAAAATGGAGCAAAGACCTACTTATTTAGAAGAAAAATATATTATTAAATTTAAAAAAAGATCATTTTTGCCCTCTTTGGTTGTGTGCAAGCTTGTCATAAACGAATTTTATTAAGTTTAACAGTTGTAAGACTGTTGCAAAGTTTGGTGATTTTGCATAAAGTATACATTAATGTTATCTTAAATATTAATGAAGTTCAGGGTAAGAAAATTATGAATACCAATTTGTATCAATGTATGGAGTGTGGAGGACAGACAAATTGAAGGATGGAAAACAGACGATGAACATGACTAGCACTATAATATATCCCGGCCATATTCATGGCGGAACATAAAATTTTCTTTTTGAGAACAGTAATATTGAAAAATCCGTATGCTAATGGCATTTCTTTTTGCCCCAGGACATGTAGAAACACTTTGATTTTATTAGCAAGTAGTTTTTTTTTATTAGAGATTTGAAATTCATTTCTCTTTGTCAGTAGTAAATGAAAGAAAAATTGATTAAATATAGCAAATGCATACATATTTTCATATCTGAGGTGCAGATTTTACAGAAAAAAGTTTGACAAAAGCATCAACCAAAAGGTTCAAGAGCAGACCTTTTAAAATGTTAAATTGTTCCATATTTTTAAGTTGCTTTTTTCCCTTAGCTGGTACTTGTGATTGACAGAATCATAAGGCTGGTTTCAATCAGCTAAGAGTTGTTTATATCACCACTGAAAGGAATATAATTATTTTTTCCTTTCCTGCAAAGCATTCTGAAAAAATTCACGTAAAAACTCTATAAAGTGCAGGATGACAAAAATAGGCATTTTTGGTGCATTAAGCTAGCCAATGGGAAAAGAAAGCAAAGTGCTGACTTAATGAGTTGATTTTTTTCTTTGCTGTTTTGCATTCATTTCACAATATCTGTAAGATATCTGATGAAAAAAATTGAAAAATTATGAAATTCTTTTATAATATATATAATTTAATTGCATTTTCTAAAAATATCTTAGTACAAAGAGATCACTCAAAACTATTTCCCCAAATAAATAGATGTATATCTTTTATCCTTTACTTTGCATCAAAGTCTGTGAAAGGTAAGGTCAAAACTGAATGCAGCTCCTAGGCTAAAGTAAATAGAACATAAAATTAATTGAACATTTTAATATATATATCATTAATTATAAAAACTCAGTCTATTGAAATCACATGATAATCTACTTACAATTCATTTCATAAATAAAAAAATGACAAAAAAGGTATGGTAAATGATAAATAATAGAACACTGTGTTGCAGTCTCTCCAAATCAGCATATTAGCAGATTCCTAACAACAATAATATAGCAAAACAGAGTTCCGTATAGGTTTTGAGATAATATGTGCTTCACTGAAGTAATTTTTCCTTCAGCATGTTTTCCAGTTTAATGGCATCTGCTCCAAACTTCCTGATTCCCTCTGCAAGCTTCTCTGTTGCCATGGCATCCTCGTTCATTTCCCACCTGAATTTATTCTCATCCACTGTGACCTCCTCAATGTCCAAATTCTGAGCTAAAATTGGATACAAAACTGTGTTCATAAACATGGCAACAAGTTATAAAAAATTTTTATTTCTAAACTCTGAGTATTAATTTTGTAGTTGGGGATAATTACAAGATGTATGTGTTTGAGATACATAAACAGAAATGTGGAAGAAAAATTTCTGAAGAAGTAATTTAAATTTGACTTGATGACATTTGCCAAAGAAGAACACTGGATATGCTCTTGAATTTCATATTAATTTGTGCAGATCTATAGCTAATGTAATTTATCAGTCCAAAAAGGGTGATAACTCCTTCAGACAATTAACTATAAACAACCAACCTTGTTTCTTTGACAGATATGGCTTGACTTCCTCTGTTGACTGTTGCAATTTATCCAGCAATGAGGGCCTAGTAATGAAAGAAAATACTGACTTTATATCAAAGAATCTACATGGATGATTTAATTCTGCTTGTAATGGGCTACTTGACTGAATAGGAAAATGTTTTTATTGTAAAACCTGTGTTGTGGCTGTTGCCTACATCACAATATAACATGCATCAACATTCGGATGTTAAATTAAAATTATTAAGTCCATTTTGAGGCCATTTTTGAGAAAAAATTATCTTATTTTCTTCACTTAATTGTAGAAAATTGAATTACAGTGTATGGGGATGAATTTAATAGTTACCCAATAGTTCTCTGGGTTGGAACATTATAAAGCATAAAATGCTCCAACCCAGGTTATACTCCCATAAACTGTGTAACACAAAAATAGGATGCTGTAGAGAAGATGAAATCCTTAAACAACAATATATGACTTCTTTTACATGCTGATTACATGGAAACATCTCATAGTTTTTGCAAAGCTTTTTGTGTTTTTATTGAAAATCAAAAAAAAAAAAAAAAAGAAAAAAAAAAGAAAAAAAATTCACAAATATAATTCCACAAATATAATTCCTAACCCAAACCCATTCACAACTTATTAATTCAATGCATGGATTATTGCTGGATAATCAATTTAATCAAAATACTGACTTTAATTAATCTAAATACACATGATTTTTTTTTTGTCACTATAGTTACATTGACTAGTTGACCTACGATATGGTGAGAAGATCACATCCTGCCAGTCCCAGTATCTGATCTGTATTTCTGAAGGAAGCACCCATCACTACTGTGTTGTAACCATACTTCTTATAGTAATTGTAAATCTTTGTCACACTTTTAACACCTAAAATACAAGAAAAATTAAATGACATCAGCGTCTTAGAAAACTTATACTGTAGTTGTACACATGTAAGTACATTTAAAATGTACCATATCTGTATGTTTTGAATTGTTTAGCACTATCATAAATTATCAATGTCTGCATTCCTATTTATGAAATTTTTATTTTGGCAGGAGTCATGAATTATCACAGAATTTTAAACAGCATGTCAGGTGCTAAAGAAGGAAACTAGCTTGTTCAAGTAAATCTAAATAACTTATACAAAGCAACTTTAAGAACACAATGCTATATATTTTATTTACAAATCACATTAATTAAAGTTTTTGACCTATTAAAACCATTGAATCACACAATCAAATTGAATATTAATAGATAACAACCCACTGAAAACTTCAAAAGACAAAATGTCATTAACTTGAAAACCTACCAGGATCTTCTAACATGCTGTAAGACTTTTGATCTGTGTTCTTGACATACCAATCAAAAATTCTACCCACAAACGGAGAAATAAGTGTCACCTTAGCTTCTGCACAAGCTACTGCCTGGAAGACAATGAATTTTTTGAAGACTTAAATAAGATTTGAAGAGTTATCCTCCTTGAAGTAATTAAAATATTTGGAAAAAGTCAATAAACTCACCTGATAAAAATTGAATAGTAATGTCATATTACAATGGATTCCATATTCACTCTCCAAGACCCTGAAATCGGAGATAAATGAAACATACAGCTATATCATAGTAACTGAAGCAACTTTGAAACGTGAAACAAAGTATTTTAATAAAGAATGTAACATGCGTTTAAAAACCAGAAATATGCATTTTTCTTCCGTACCTTGCAGCTTCCACTCCCTCCCAGGTTGATGAGAGTTTGATTAGTATCCTTTCTTTGGAGATTCCTGCCTTTTTGTATAGATCTATCAGCTTCCTGGCTCGGGCAATGGAGCCCTCTTTATCAAACGATAACCTAACAGGAAAAAAAGATTGTGTAATTAAGACATTCACTTAAATTCTGAACTGTACAATTTCTTTTGTGACCATCTTGCTTTGCTTTGTATGTACATTTCGTATTGTAAAATATAACCAGGCCAATACGTTTATAACAATTATAACTAAAATATTTCTTTATATTTTTTGGTTCAAATTTTTTGCTACTCATTGTATTTTTTAAAAATAAATTCACTAGTCTAAGATATGCATCTTTCTCTTATCATTTCCTTTTAACATATTTAGAAAAATATTAATGAGGTTTTCTCACCTTGCATCAACTTCTGTTGATACTCGACCAGGGATAATTTTCAGTATTTCACATCCAAAATTTACATAAACTTTGTCCATCGCATTTGTGACTTGCTCTTCAATTGATCTAAAATGTAGTTGTTTAGTTAATAATACAAGTTTCATCCAAGAGCACATGTATTTTGTGTGAATGTAAGCAACATTCACAAGTAAAATGTTTGTCAGCTAGTGACAATTTAAGAAAAGGGTGTAATCATATTTGATTTTACTTCCAAGTAGATTGAATATGTTTATACAGTATAGGCATAGCCCCCCCCCCCTTTTCTCAAACCAGTCTGAGTAAAATTATTATTGAGAAAACTTTAACATATACCCTCCAGCACTCTTAGCATATTCAATGGCTTCTGTAATCAATCCTTGGTAGGACTCCATATTAGCAGCAGCCAAAATCAGAGAGGGGTTGGTTGTGGCATCTGTTGGTTTAAATTTTGCCATCGCTGAAAAAAGAGAAGCAAAGTTCAAGAATATTCCTTTTTGTCTATCAAATAAAATGTTGAATTTTTGAAATCTATATAATTGTTGAATTACTTGCATCTTAGACTAAATGTAACTGCTTGCATAAAGGTTAAAATATGCCTCGTTTGACAGGGGATGGTTTGTGGAGGTGGTAGCAGGGACCTATATATTAAGTATATAGGTCCCTGGTGGAAGGTGTAATATTTGAATACCACATAAATCATATATTGGCGCATTTGTGCTAAAGTTGGAGATCAAAGATCTTGGATCCGCGCCTGAACATGTCGATTATGCATTTTGACATTAGAAAACGATGTATACCGCAAAAAACTTTTAAAAGTACATGTCCGGACTCTGTGTCTGCACTTATTCTATCATCAACACAACCAGGAAGATGTAAACACTGAACCGGGTGAGTCAGCTGGCCATGAAATAGAGCTGCACGTTTTTAGTCGTTTACCCGGTGCTAGGACTTTCAGGAATCCCGGGATTTCGGGAGAATCCCGCTACAGGAAGAAGAATCCCCCACAAAAAGGTAGAATCCCCCTTAAAATGAATTAGTTGGGATACATAAAGGGTTTTGGTGGTGATTACTTGAATGATATTGTTATCCGTACATTTTTATAGCCAATTTTACCCGAGAATCGACAAAAATCGGACGCCATTACTAGTTGTAGTGGTATACCGTATACCACGCCCGATCTAAAATCGCGATCGCTGACAACTACTAGTTCCAAGTTGTACGTGAAAAATATTAATGCTTCTAAAAAGTGAATGATAGTATATAGGAATTTTATAATAAGAATTAGCATGATTATAAATACATAAAAGGAAATAAAAAAATGAATAAAAATTAAATATAATTAAAAATAATATAAATCAACATATTTCAGGGCTTAATTGACTCCTTTTGTTCACAGTAGTTTTGTACCCCTTCAAATGGGAGTTTTATATCGAAAATTATGCTGCAGAATTTGGAAATATTTGTGAAATGTATGTGTTACTGTAATATAAAGACAATGAGATACTATGTTTTTCCCCTAAGTACATTTCTACATAAGCCAAGAGACTCAATATGGTTGATAAAAAGCGCAGTGAAAATATTTGGGTGAAATTTTAATTTGGAATTTATTTATGTATTATATATTTTTATTTATTTATTTATTTTTTATTTTAAAGTTATTTATTTATTTAAATATTTATTTTTCCTTTATTTCATCTATTCATTTCTATAATATTTATTTATTTATTTTGTTATCATGTGTTCTGTTTGATTTTGTCTGTATCTAAATATGATATTTACTTAATTTTTCATGTACTTTGTTATTGTTGTTGATTCTTTTCTTTTTTTTTTTTATTTATTTTTTTTTTGGCTTGTTTTTGCATGTTTGAAAAGAAAATAAATACTCATTGATATTAGAAAGCAGTTAGTATTATCCAAGAATGAAATTATTTGAACACAGGTCTATTAAAAACAGAAAGTTCCATAAAAATTAATAATATGTGCATGTTGCATATGTGACCACATGTTGAGGGAATATTGTGATAATACTATACTATTTACACATCAGCCAGGTTTGTTGGTAGTTACTGGTACAGGCAGCCCCCCCCCCCCCCCCCCATGTATGTATACATGCAATATATATACACAGCTGTTGACACCTGTTCCAGGGACACCTGGTCTAGTTGGTAATAAACACCTTTTGTTTAAACACCTGTTCTCTGTCCAACCAACCCCCTCGGGCACTGCATGTGTATACATTGACCTTCACTATGCTCAATTAGTTCTTTATTTTCAATTCAATTTTGTATTTTAAAATGATTTTGTATTGTAATTGTACTGTCTTTTCATTCAACATTATAATTATACCTTTACTGTCAGACATTTTATTTTTATTTTTTTTTATTAATATAATTGAACAAAATTGAAATTAAATGATGCTTTACAGATTCTCAAATAAGGACGTTAACCATAAGGAAAATATGAATTTATGAAAATAAAAATATTAATATCTGACAAATATCCATATAGTTTCCTTATGTTTCCAGCTCTAGCCACGTGGAGGCCTCCTTAGTGTAGAGCCTTGATTTAAGACATTTTTGAAACATAAAAAATATTAAAGCCAAAGGACCGAAAGATAAATTAAAATAAAAATAAAAGAAAAAGGTACTTAAAAAATACTTTATCATTATTCATAGTCAAAATATTTCTGTCAAAAATAAAAATATTACAGCCAAAGAGAGCAATAAACATAAAAGTAAATTATCAAATAACTTTATGGAAAATGACAGAAAAAATAATTTATAATTTTATTAACATCATTTAGACATTAGATAAAATTATATTCCTAACCTAACCTAACACAACACCAAACAGTATTCACTGGTCTGCACCCGTCTGGCGGGGGAGGAATACTGCCTGATACTAACCCTATTCTAAGTTCTAACCTAACACAACACCAAACAGTATTCACTGATCTGCACCCGTCTGGCGGGGGAGGAATACTGCCTGATACTAACCCTATTCTAAACAAAAATCATAAAATAATAAACATTGTAAAAACAAAACATAGATTTGATTGTTCTGTAAGACTGACTGAGTATGGGGAGTTGAAGATCTACTGTATTTTAGATTTTTCGATAGTTGTAGTCCTGTCCACTTTTTTACGTTTTTGTTGACCAATTTTTTTACCTAAGGTGCGTTGCTCTGAAATGTGTTCAAATGCTGTCGTCAGAATTTATCAATCCCTCATCACTGAAAATTAGATCTAATATTTTTTGTCTGTCTGCCTTGTCTACACTATCATCAACATGTAGGGGTTTAATGAATTTGAAAAAAACATTTGGCTTGATGATGGGATTACTTTGAACAGAGAGGCAATGGAAATTTTTATTTGACAAATTCAGTTGGCATTGAAATGTAAAAAAAATATAATTTTTTTTTATTTATTTCAAGTCATTAAGGTTTCAGGTTACATGGAAGAACATATAATACTTATGTTTGGAGACAGAAAGTTTTTCATTTCACTTTCATCCAGTCTAGAATGAGACTTTTCTCCCCAGTTAAATTCAATAAAATCTTGTGTTTTTATTTGTGTGTGTGTGTGTGTGTTGTTTTTCCTTTTTTGAATTAAAAGAAAATATAGAATGGTTTACAGTCTGATTTAAAATTGCTAAATATTTGAAAAACTTCATACATTTCTAATTCATTATTTCTTTCAAAACATTCCTCTGGTTTCAGTTAAAATTCAATCAATTTAATTTTTTTCTTATTATTTCTCTGTGTGTGTGTTTTCTTTTTCTAAATTAAAAAAATAATTTTATGTAGAATGTTTCAAAATCTGAGTTAAAATTTCTCAATATTTGAAATTCTTGATAAATTTTTAATTAACTATTTCTTCCTCTGGTTTCAGTATTTTCAAATTTTAAAATTATTTTAATTTCTCTTGTGTTATGTTCTCTTTGTAATATATGTACAATTATTGTTAATTTATTTAGTTTTTATTTATTTTTAAATTTTATTCATATGTTTTGAACCTTTTGGCTTTCATATTTTTATATCTCTGAATTCTAAATTTCTTAAATTATGGCTCTAAAAAAAAGGAGGCCTCCACGTGGCTAGAGCTAGTAACATTGGGATAATATGAATAATTAATACACATATTCATATTTTCTTAATGGCTAACGTCCTTACAAATTTTTTTTTGTTAAATACTTATCACATAATAATTGATACATATCATTGTAAAAATATTGATAATATTCCGAAAATTTAAATATACCGTTTTGTTTTGATCTATATAATGACGAACCGACAGAACTCGATCGCGATTTTAGATCGGGCGTGGTATACGGTATACCACTACAACTAGTAATGGCGTCCGATTTTTGTCAATTCTCGGGTAAAATTGGCTATAAAAATGTAAGGATAACAATATCATTCAAGTAATCACCACCTAAACCCTTTATGTATCCCAACTAATTCATTTTAAGGGGGATTCTACCTTTTTGTGGGGGATTCTTCTTCCTGTAGCGGGATTCTCCCGAAATCCCGGGATTCCTGATAGTCCTAGCACCCTCGTTTACCTTAATCTTGACCTGAAAACATTTTCGAACTTATTTACCGGCAAAATCTCCAGTGTCAGCGACCACAACAGTCATGTTTTTAAGCTGGTCGAGGGTGGAAATTGCTCTCTTTTTAGGGCTACTCTCCGTCATGATGCTTTTATTTAGTAATCCGGAAAGATGAGCAAAGCTTTTTCACGTCTTCTCGCAGCTAGCTGTTTTCCAAAGTAAAGTGACGTCACTTGTTTAGATAGCGGGGAGAAATCATTATTTTACTTCCACTAAGGTACTCGAATTATTGATTCTTTATCATTTTTAAACGATATAGGTACAGTTACAGGTACATATAAATGTAAAGACTTAAAGGGCTCTAATAACTGGCATGCATTTGCTTTATGTGAAGAGTGATCGACAGAAAATCAGATCCTTTGATCCGCTCACATATATACTGAGCAAAATAAGTTTAGCAATTTAAGATATTTATTATAAAATAAAGTGAAATAATAGACACAGCACTTACAATTAAATTGTGATATGAGCTTGTTATCACATAACAAAATAAGGTAAATTTTATCGACAATTGTGTGCTGTTTTGTAAGAATTATAGTGAAACTGATCACAGATACGGGTTTGAAAAGTCAGATTCAATTTTGATATTGTGTAAGGCCTCCAATTGCAGCAATGACAACAACACAACGGCGTCTCATGCTCCTTATAAGGTTCTGTATCTCAAGCATGGTGATCTGGTTCCACTCCTGTTGCAGGGCAAGGGTCAGCTCTGCTACGTTGTTGACGTTATGTTGCTGTCTTAAACGACGACCAAGAATGTCTCAAATGTTCAATGGGTGACAAACCTGGCGATCTCGCGGGCCAATCAAAGATCTTGACATAATTCTGATGAAGGACAGCTTGTGTGTTGTGTGGGCATTGTCCATGTGAGGCGGGGCTGTCGATGACGTTGAGTTAGTGGTACTGCTGTGAGAGATTTTCGAGCTCGAGGATTTGCTAAACCTAGCTGGTTTTTTACACATTGTCCACATATCCTCAGTCCAATTGCACGGCATAATTCATGTGCAACTTTAGAGGCAGTCATGAAACGGTTACGTCTCGACGTTGTAACAGTAAAACGATCTTGCCTAATCGTCGTTTTTCGTGGACGTTCTGAGCACCGACAATTACTAACATGTCAAGTGGTCCGGGATCGGTTTAAAAGTCAACATATGGTGAACGGATGCACAAGAAAGTCTTCAGCGACATTTCTTTGTGAGCAACCGGCGTTCGCATCTCTATAGTCGTTCGACGTTCATTTTTGAAAAGTCCTGGATGTTTCCCAATTTGACGTTTTTGAAATTTTTCACCGGTTTTCTTTTATAAGCGTGCTCGAAGGGCTTTTCCAGTAAAAAATTCTTCAAGGACCATGTGCATTCGAGCGTAACATTTTGTATTGTTCAATTGTCACAACGTTGGACGACGCGGTTTCTGCGCGTCTAGTTAAAAAAAGAAGTGTGTGTTTTGTTACCTTTTTCTATATTGATTTTAAGGAGGAACAAAATAAAAGAATTTTGAAAGATATTTTTAAAATTATACCTATGGTAAAACAATTGCTAAACTTATTTTGCTCAGTATATATTTTACTTAAAAGCAAATTGTTGGCTATTACGTATGCAAAAAAAAAAAAAAAAAAAAAAAAAAAAAAAAAAAAAAAAATACTTTTTTTTATTTTTTATTTTTTTTTTAAATTTATTTATCTATTTATTTATTTATTTATTTTTTTTTTTTACATTTTTATACTTTTTTAAAGTAAAAAAAGTAGCTAAATGCAATGCAAGATTTTAAAATTGGTAACAGATATGGATCATATTTATAATTGTAGGTCCGTAGGAAACAATTTCACGGAGGGGGGGGGGGCACACCCTAACATAATTAAGTTTCTTGAAAAGAAAAGAAAAAAGAGAGAACGACCCTCAAACGATTGTTCAGAAGGCATGCAAAATTGTTAACTGGCTGTGTGTTCTTAAGTTCTGTATATATTGCATATGCTGGCAAATTTATGGGGGATGGGGAGTTGGACAGCACCGAGCCCCCTCCACCCGGTCAGTACTAAGTATACATGTAAATGTAAATGTATACGGGTCTGGATTATCTACCGCAGGACACGAAAGACCATCTTGATTTCAAAACTTTCTTTAAAATAGTAGATCCTGCATATATTTTTTAAACAACTCTTTTTTTTAAATCAAATCTACTGTAAATTTTATCACACAAATGTCAACGGGGTGTATAGAAATCTTTCTCCCCCTCTTTCCCCTGCCTTAAACTGCTCACTCCTTGTCTCAAAGCATCGATCTTCCTTAATACCTTACTCCTTTCCGTGCATCCCTTTGCGTCGCCCCTTTTCCCACCCCCCTTTTTCCCATGTGCAACATGTCACTAGTATAATAATTACTTCTAATTTACATTATTCAAACTGCCTTCTTTCTCCAACAGTGTACATGTTTGGAAGCAATTTAATCATTGAACAATTCTGAATTAAATCAACTTTATAGTGTTCCTAGACCCGTTTTTTCGGGAGGAAAAACTATGCACTGGAAGAGTCTTAGATAGAATGTTCTATCGTTAAAATGATACTGTCCTACGGACCCGGTGTGGTGAGGGCTTGTCCCGAGACACAGTTAGATTATTCTAACTAGAAGAGTCTATACACCACTTGTGTAGACTTATGTAGTCTAGGTGAGCAAAAATAAGAGGATAGTCCAGAAAAAAGGCAGAAATCTCCAATATAGTTTTCTGATTTTACATGCCATGTGTTTCTTTAATTTGCGCCATGGGTTACGCCTCGGTCATTCGATACCAGCAGGTTTCAGTTCTGGTAATTTTCTATTTAATTATTTTGATTTGTTTTTTGAATAAATGTTAATCAGTCTTAATTATAATGAAAAATTGTTTGAAGGACTCCCCTTTGACCATAAAATGATTTACATTGTATTTAATTTGCAGAAATATGTTTTGTTTATTAATAATAAGCTCTGGACTCATGCATAATCCTGGCCTTGACTTCATACATGTATAGGTACCCCCCCCCCCCCCTCCCCTCCCGAAAAAAAAACAACAACCAACCGGCTAACCAACCAAACAAATACTGCTGGTTCGAATCCTAGCATGCTCTGATGCTGATGCTGTTTATCTCACTGATCCCTGTCCATGCAGGGGACTCGAATTCTGTTCTGCTTTATAGCCTACATTGGACTAGTTTTCAAGGCAGGGGTGGAGGGGTGGAGTTTTGGGCTTCTTCTGTCGCATTTTTCAAATAACAGTCTCCGACGTGGAATTTTTAGTAAGATTCCTACATAGGATATAATGATACATTGTATTTTTGATGCAGATATCGCAGCTCGAATGGTTTAAAACTAAATATAAAAATGACACCCCAATCCAACAACAATACGCAATAGGCAATGCACATACCTTCAAAATCCCCCGTGTCAGCCACCACTGTCGTAAGTTCTCGTAGCTGGTCTAGAGAGGACGCCATGATGATGTATAATATTTGTAAATATGTCTCTCTGGCAAATTCTTGGCAAATACAAGCTTCGAACGATCAATACACACTCAATGGCTGGCTGGCGTTATGGACAGCTAAAAAAAAGTGAGTTTGAAAAAAAAACTGGTTACAATTAAAAAAAAAAGCTACATAAATTATATGGATAATGTTGACAACAGCAGGGGTACAGAAGTTTGTAATTAAATCCGTCCTATGCTGACACACACACGATGTAAGGGGAGATAGAGGATATCTTAACAGTTCCTGTGATTCACTGATTATAAAGTGGTGGGATGTCACAGTATACACACAGTTGTAAACCAGTATGTACAAACATGTAAATCTGCATTATGTGTCACCTATATTCGTTTTTTAAGTTTTCTATTCAATGTTGTTTACATGTTATTAATCTATGAAACATCGTCTTTAAAGGTTTAATTAAACTTTAAAATATAGGATAAGACTTCATATTTATTAAATTCAGAATAAACACATAATATTATATCAACATGCAGGAAGAAAAATTAGTAAACTCAACCTGTGTGTGAGAAGTTCAAAATTTCAGCAGTTCTATACATTTTGTATTTTTTTTTGATAAATGTACTTAAATTGTATTTAAGAGAGAGAGAGAGAGAGAGAGAGAGAGAGAGAGAGAGAGAACTAACTAAAACAATAAGTACATGTGAGTTATATATCTTTTATGTTTTACGCAGGCCCGTAGGAAGCAATTTCAGCTTTGGGGGGGGGGGGGTACAGCCAAACATTTTCAGTTGGGGGGTACTATCAACTACCAAATTCCTTGACTAGCCAAAAAGGGGGGGGCACAAGCGTATAGTAGCTATATAAGTTTTCTATAGTATTCTATAGGCCTATTTCGTCAAAATTAATGGGGGGGGGGGGGCACGGCCCCCGTGCCATCCCGGTTCCTACGGCCATGTTCACGTAATTCATTCTATTTCTCAATTCTTTCCTTTCTTTTTAAAAGCATATCGAGTATATATATAAAGCTTTTCGCTTAGCTTATCATCATATCTTCAGTGAATAAAAAAAAACTAATGCAGGGAGCATACATGTATGACGTCACCGGGAACACAGGAAGCTGTGGAGGAGGTACCACTGGAACACCGGAATTTGGCCATTACAATCTAAAAAAAATTATGTTTTTGAAACATCCAGATATAAATTCACGTGATAAGGGAAGGGGGGGGGGGATTTGTAATTGCACTTCTTTAATTAAGCTCTAAGCTTGATAAAGTTTTTAAGAAAAAATATTATATTAGAATGGGGTTTCTTTAATACATCTTTCATAGAGTTCAATGATATACACGACTTCATCTTATTTTTGTATCACTCGATAATATCTCTGGCACATAATCTTTCAGCAGCTTCCTTTGTGAAACACAGGAACTTGATTGTTTTTTTTTTTTTTTCTTCAATTTCTTTTTTTTTTTTCACGAAGTCTTCTGTCTTATATGTTCCACTTTATGACAATAAAATTGTAGTGTATTATAGAGATTCATCGTTTTGTATTTGGATATGAATTTATTTTACGAATCAGAATGTGACAGGATTTTATAATATCTTCACAAGTGTGAATTCAGTTAAAATTAAATACAAAAAATCCTGTCTCATATATCCAATTAAAAAGAAACATAGAATTTTAGTATAAGTT